TCTTAAATACATCATAAAAGGCAATTGTTAACACCATCTACATCCTAGCTGTTAACGTGTGGGAGCTGAAATTCTATCCAGCTAAAGTTATACTTCCTTTCGTGTCAGTAAAACATATTTAAAAACGTGTTGTGGATGTGTTAAGGTTATGTCACTACGCTCTCTTGTTGATTAGAGGAAAAGAGGAGTAACAGATAAAAAGACAGATGGTGAGAAAAGAGGAAGGTCTTAATCCTATGTGACATACGGCCACTGTGTATACATATCTCCCCTCTCTCTACAGCTCTTTGTATAGTGTATCATGTCCCTGCATTTACACTGACCCCTCACTCTGCACAGTCCTTTTACCCCTTCATTGGCGTAAAAGCCAGAGTGAGCTTCTTTCAACTTGTCTACTGTACCAATGATAAAACAAAAAGGGTTATGACTACAGATATCCTCAAAATAAAAACTGAAAAAGCATCTTGAAAACTCTTGCAGAATTAAAATCTAAATCTAAAAATTAAATACAAATGCTAATACTTCCCTGCGGTTATGTACTACAGACAGACTCAAAAAAGAAATCACACAGACAGAGGGCCAAGATGACACATTCACAAAGCTGGCTCACTGTTGTGTAAACACACATACTGTCATGAAAAATTCATTCAAGTCAGATAAATAATAAAAGTCAAATGAAAGCAATATTGTACATTCTGAAATTCCTCATGACAGGGCTTGCTTGGTAGGCAAACACACAAACACACACACATACAAATGACGTATCTGTCAGAACAACTCCCAGCGGTGCAGAAAGCACTTAGACCTTGTCGCTTCAATCATCCATCCCCTCGTCCGTCCATCCATCCATCTTTAGAGAGGGCTCGACTGATCACAACCAGTTCTGCTCTGCTAATTATGCAAGAGGCAGAGTGCGACAGGAAGTGAAGTGGTGTCAGACTGTAGCGAAGCCTCACAAATGAAACAACTGACACACACGCAGGAACATAGTTATATCTAACTATCAATCAATAGTGTCAATCACTGTTGCTTTATGAAGGCTAATACTCTTGTTTTTGGACTGAAGCTGCCATTTGCAACTATTTCTTGCTTTTAGCCAACAAGACTAACACTGTGTATACACAGGTGCAGAACTGAGTGTTTTGGTGGTAGAAATTCTTTTGGTGTAAACCTGTTAAGAGCAGCTATAGCCCTTTTCCATACACATGTGCCAGCTTGGCCTGATTTGGAGCATCAGTCCAATGCAGCAGGGATTTACCCTTGCATTACAACAGGGTTATCTGCTTGAAGGTGTGTCTTTAAAGGCAGAGAGAGCCATAGTGGTTACAGACTCACAGACCTACAGCCGTCAAAGACCATCTGATGTCACCACAACTGGAATGGGTGGGGCTTCAACCAGTACTCACTCAACTCCGGGCTCCGGATATGGTCCATCTTTCGTACAACTCGATACAGCTCGGTGCCTTTACACTGGTAATTAAAATACAAATCACAGCGGGATGGTTTGCAAAGTGCTATTGGCAAAGCCCTACTTGTGGCTTATAAAGTCCCCATTGTTTATTTGACAGCATGAATGAGCAGGAGTATGTTTAACCAGTCTGTTACATCGCAGTGTATTCAGGAAAGTATCTTCATCTGTGACCTGAGCTGTCTCATGGTTTTTATAACAAATCCAACATAATATTTCAATTACATTTGGAAGCTAGAAAATTACTTATTAACATTATTAATTCAATTCAATTCAATTCAATTCAATTCAATTGTATTTGTATAGCGCCAATTCATAACAGAAGTTATCTCAGGACACATTTTTTATTAGGGCTGCATGATATGGTTAAAACATCCTATTGCAATAATTTAACAGATACTGCAATTGCAACAAGATTGTTAGACCAGGGCCTCTCTACAGAACTACAGTTGTTCATTATAATTCTGTTTTAACACACACTTTAACTTTATCAAAAAACTGCAGCTTACTGTGATTGGGATATTGCATCTGGCCATATTGCGATTTCGATAATATTGTGATTAATTGTTTAGCCATACGCATTACAAATATATATAACTTTGTGCCCTTGTTGTTGACTAAGCATGCATTGCAAATGTGGATGGGTGATATCCGGGAAAGATCACAGGTACTTTGAATCCACCAGTATCTTTGAAGTATTCAAAGCGGTCTTCATTTCCACACATACTACAAGTTCTACTCCTGTTTGTCCTATCATTTGTCCCTGGTCAGTGGACCCCTAACAGGATCAGACAGCTCTGCAGCTCTCCTAAATCCTAGAGGAGATGAAGTGACTTCCACGCGTTAAAAAAGTTGATAAAATGCTTTTACTCCTGTGCCAGATGGTTTGCCAATTTAGTGACATTTTTACTAATCTAATGTCAACATACCTAAAGCCATACAAATCCTGGTCTATGTAAGTGTGTGTGTCTGCATAATATCGATGTACAAAGCAGCTTCTGTGCAGCCAGGACAGACTTCATGTCACTTTAAAGAATTTGCTGTCAGAGTCACTAAATGTCTTTACTGCACATCTGCTATTCCTGTCTGCCTGTCTGTCTCTTCTGATTTCTATCTCCGTCTGCCTCCTTCTGTCATTATTTCTACTTGTCAGTGTGTCGTCCTGTCTGGCCACGGTTTTAAGCTTTCATTTCTTCCTCTTGTGGAAGGTGCTAATAAGGAGTGCAGCTGACCCTATCTTAATTTTTTAACAATAATAATGATAATTAAAACACTTCCTCAGAAATACTACCTATACTGCTATCACTACTTACATTTGAATAATGGCAGTGATACTCCCAGTAAATAAATGATGCTACCTGTGTAGTTTAAAGGATATCTATGGAGCTGTGGACAAAAATGTTGCCTTGAGTTGTTCTAAACTTGACCCTACATACCAAATGCAATTTCAAGCTCTGAAACTGTATTTGATAATTTATAGCACATCTTGAGGCTTGATAATGATGACAGACTGCTACTCTTAATACCTTTACTATCAGCACATGACCGTCCAGCTCAAAGCGTCTGAACTTCTACTTTTTGGGTACATCTGCTTTCTACTACAGATTTTTTTAAATCCAAAAAAATCAAAGGTGAGTGGTGTGTGTCAATCCACAATCATTCCAAATGTCAACATATGAGATATCATTTATTAGAGTGTGAATTGTGCTTCTACAGTAGATTAGATTAGAAACATATTCTGCTGTACAGCTCATATTCCCTCTGGTTAAAGTATACAGAATCTCCATCTTATATGCACTAATCAAGGGAGCAGTGATCAAAGACTTGAATCACCAATGCTGCCCTCAGTGCCCTAAAATTCCACATTCTGGTTTAATGACATCTGATCTAACTGAAGCATGACAGCATCCTGTCTGCACACTGAGAACAACCCAGAATATTCATTGACTGAGCATCCTGTCAAGGACAAATGTATCTACTTCAAAATATATTTGTCTGATACTAGCTGCAAAGTGCAGAAAGCCTATTAATGTTTACAATTAGTAAGAGTGATGCCATTTACTTTTCACCTCTAATGCACATAACGTTGCCATGTGTATACATGTGTTTCACCAATGACAAATTCATCTGTGTTTGTGGGGAATGTGTTAAGATGCTGGAACAACTCCTGGAAGAAAACAAAAGCCCTGTAAGTGGATACCTGTACATAACACGTTGTTGTTAATTCAGTGATGTGATGTGTGATTAGGTTCATTTTACTAAGAAAATTAAGATAATCAAACTTATTTATAGGTTGCTAAAAGTAACCTGTACCCATTTTGGGTATGAATTAGTGCTGTCAGATAAACGCATTATTAACGGTGTTAACGCAAACCCATTTTAACGGCATACATTTTTTTATCGCGAGATTAACGTCCTTTTTGGCCTAGCACACTTTGTAGTTTTTTTCACATGCTGTTGCAACAACTAGCAACATTAGAAAACTACAACACCACACTGGATCTAGCTAGACCGGAAACAAAACAACAGGCACGCCGCACACACTTGTTTAAGAGTAGTAGACGTTACGTTTTGAGTGGATGGCGAGTGCGAGACGCCGAAATGGATGCCACTAATATTCTGAATGGAAAGTTTACTTTTAAAAAGTTGCCAAATGGTTCCATTGACAAGACCAAAGTGATCTGTGTGTTTTGTCGTTGTGAACTGAGCTATCATCGCAGCACGTCCAGTCTGAAATACCACTTGATGGCCAAGCACACAGCTGATGCGAATTCTCCACCCCCTCATCAAAGCCAGGCGACAATGGATGATTTTTCAATAAAAACAACATTTGCACAAAGCAAGCCGATCCACTTTTCCATGTTGATAAGAGCATTAAAATGAGAAAAAATAATGGGACAAAAAGAAATCAAGGGACATTTAGAATAGATAAAAATGTGCAATTAATTGTGATTAATTGCGAGTTAACTATGACATGAATGCGATTAATCGCGATTAAATATTTGAATCGTTTGAAAGCACTAGTATGAATGCTTTTTGATGAAACAAGATTTATATAAAACGTTTGTATAAACACTAGAGCACCAACAGAGCCCAGTCTCCATTGCCAAAAGTAGTAATTTTACCAAGTAGATATTCATAAAACACACTTCTATCACTAGACTGAAATTAAACAAAATTTACCAAAACCATCTTTCCAACAATCACCAATGCTGGTTTTGTCGAAATAAACCCTTAATTAACAAAGTTAGCCCAATAGCCCCAATATGGGCTGCTATGGCTACCATGTAATGTTAGCTAGGGACAAATGCGCCTGTCATAGTTATGTCCACTAAAAGCTCTTGTTTTTGTCAATGACAGGCTCAGATTGTGTCTAAGTGTCAACATTATGGAAAGGATCCCAACAGAGATAGATATTTTGTTTAACCAGAAACAGCAAAATATTGTTATCACTCGCCAACAGACTCCATAGACAAAAAAGGTAATTTTATCCGACATATCATCGTAACAACATCTCTATCACTGTACTTACCATGGTGGTTTCAGCAATGGAACCAAAGCTGTTGATGAAAATGTTACAGGAAACATTGACTGGAGGACCTACAGAAAGACAGAGATAAAATGACTGCATTAGATAGATACAATATACAGTAAATCATACAAAATATTTATAAAAGATATACAGGTTGCCTGAGTGTATCAGGGCTTGTTTCTCTGAAACAGTTTGGAGTGTATTTTCTGCCCTCTAGCAATAAACAAAATTACTTTGGAGGATGCACAGTACATTTACATAAGTGTTGAGCAATTACACCTGCAAGTTGGATGCCTTAGAACTTTAATCTTTAATAACACCATTGGGCTCAATGAAGAGGAAATTTTAGAGGCCAGTTAGGAGTGTTGGTGTGTTGGATTGCATTGTATAGAAAAGTGTTGTGTTCACTCCCATCTATATATATATATTGACATGTGAACTGGCAGAGATATCTTCAGAATATCTGACCCTGACATATATCTTCACAGCAACCTCACAAAGAAACTTACTCTACAAATCTACGTTCTACCTCCTTTATTTGCTCAGTGTTCTTTTGCAAGCCTTTCGTTTGAAGCACAATGGAAGTCGGAGCAGAACTTCAATGAATTTCAATGAATGTTCAGGTAAGGCTGCTCAATTAATCGAAATTTGAACATGATTACGATTTTGGGGCCAAACGATCTCAAAACTAATAAAATCGGAGGGAAACGTTTTTTTTTAATTTTCTGTTGTGCAACGTTGTATAGAAAAAAGCTGAGCCCCTGAATTGGGACACAGCCACAGTCTGCGTATTTCGCTCATGCGTATTTTCCGTCCCTCCCCCGCAGCAAGCACTGCACATCATGCGCTCGGTATACGTGCCATTCCCGACCTGTCGCGCGATGTGAATGGGAAGTTTCTGAAGTTTTAAAAAATAATCGTTTGAATAATCGAGATTTCAGTTTTGACCCAAATAATCGTGATTATGATTTTTTCCATAATCGAGCAGCCCTATGTTCAGGATGACCGCCAAGAAAGTTTGATGACTGACTTTGCCAGAATCCAAGTAAAAACTGTCTTAGCAAGTAGCATATTTGTGAAAAATGGACTGCAGATAAAGTTCAGATGAAGTAAGGTACTAAGATCAACAGCAGCACTTTACTGATGTATGTAAACAGCCATTGTGGCAGTGGTGTGGGTTTTCTCTGTCTGTCTGGGGGGTGGGGGGGCAGTCACAGCTGCAGGTTTTTGATAATCAGCCATTAGCCAACTGTTTACCTCCCCTGCTGTAAAGCTGGAGCTCTTCGCCTGCTGACAGTGCATGCTAAAAACTTCTTTAGAGTTGATATGTTTCATTAAGTAGAGTTGCCAGAGCTTTAATTTTGTGTATCAGGAGTTGTTTGTTTGATTCTGGATTCTTGAATAAAACCACCAGTGTGAATAATCACTGCCTGGCTGGGCTGAGAGTTTCACCTGTGACAATAGTTTAGCTGACAATAACATTTAGCTATCATTTGAAATGATTTATTAGGTCAAAAAGGCGTTTGCGGTTAAAAAAAATGCCTTGCATCGAAAACTCAATGATAAGTTGTAGTGCAGAGGGGTTTACAGTAAAACATATGCAACCCCATGCAGTCGCGGAGGATGTGGGATTTCAGCATATGATTAGTAATGTGGCCATTTTTGTATTAAAATGACAAAGCAGCATCTTTTGCTTGCACTTTGTTAAGTTTTTTGAATAAATGTACCAAAAATTTATCAAACCGAAAACCATGACCCTAAAGCTGTGATATGAACTGAATTTTGTTCTCTTCCACCCCTAATTCTTATATCTAGATTTACATTTATAGGAACAATCTAAAGAACCTAAGTTATGCTGCTGTCCGGTGTCTTTGAAGTCCTGTTTTGTAAGAAAAATTAGAAATATATACTTTGTTGTCTGTGTATTGTACTGTATTACATATTGTGCCCCCACATTAAGATCCCATTTCTAGGAACATGTTCAAATGTTTCTGCTGTCACGGTTAAAACAGTGATTTGTGATTAATGTAAAGGCACTTTAATTCAATTCAATTCAATTCAATTTTATTTGTATAGCGCCAATTCATAACAGAAGTTATCTCAGGACACTTTTCAAATAGAGCAGGTCTAGACCGAACTCTTTAACATTAATTACAGAGACCCAACAGTACCACCATGAGCAAGCACTTGGCGACAAGGGCAAGGAAAAACTGCCTGTTAAAAGGCAGAAACCTAGGACAGATCCTCCGGCTCTAGGTGGGTGGTCGTCTGTCTCGACCAGTTGGGGTGAGAGAGAGAGAGAGAGAGAGAGAGCGACAGACAGACAGACAGGTGCACAGCAACAACAGTATTGGCAATGGCAGTCAAGCAGGACCATGGCAGGAGGCTCCACCAGGATCCATGAGAACCTGCGAGACGAGAAAGCACAAGAACTCCGGGGAAGAAGTGGAGTTAGTAACATGCATTAAAGGGACATGAATTCAATTCAATTCAATTTTATTTGTATAGCGCCAATTCATAACAGAAGTTATCTCAGGACACTTTTCAAATAGAGCAGGTCTAGACCGAACTCTTTAACATTAATTACAGAGACCCAACAGTACCACCATGAGCAAGCACTTGGCGACAAGGGCAAGGAAAAACTGCCTGTTAAAAGGCAGAAACCTAGGACAGATCCTCCGGCTCTAGGTGGGTGGTCGTCTGTCTCGACCAGTTGGGGTGAGAGAGAGAGAGAGAGAGAGAGAGAGAGAGAGAGAGAGAGAGAGCGACAGACAGACAGACAGACGCACAGCAACAACAGTATTGGCAATGGCAGTCAAGCAGGACCATGGCAGGAGGCTCCACCAGGATCCACGAGAACCTGCGAGACGAGAAAGCACAAGAACTCCGGGGAAGAAGTGGAGTTAGTAACATGCATTAAAGGGACATGAATGAGTGCAGAAAGAGAGAGGAAGAGAGTAGCTCAGTGCACCATGGGAAATCCCCCGATAGTCTAGGCCTATAGCAGCATAACTAAGGGATGGTTCAGGACTCACCTGATCCAGCCCTAACTATAAGCTTTATCAAAGAGGAATGTCTTAAGCCTACTCTTGAATGTGGTGAGGGTGTCTGCCTCCCGAACCACAACTGGAAGCTGGTTCCACAGGAGAGGAGCTTGGTAACTGAAGGCTCTGGCTCCTGTTCTACTTTTAGAGACTATAGGAACCACAAGTAGCCCAGCATTCAGAGAACGTAGTGTTCTAGTGGGGTAATAGGGTACTATGAGCTCTTTAAGATATGAAGGGGCCTGACCATGAAGAGCTTTATAGGTGAGGAGGAGTATTTTAAATTCAATTCTACATTTTATAGGGAGCCAATGCAGAGTAGCTAGTACAGGAGAGATGTGATCTCTTTTTCTAGTTCCTGTCAGTACTCGTGCTGCAGCGTTCTGAATTAATTGGAGCGTTTTAATGGACTTATTGGGGCAACCTGATAATAAAGAGTTGCAGTAATCCAGCCTTGAAGTAACAAATGCATGGATTAGTTTTTCTGCATCTGTCTGTGATAGTATGTGTCTAATTTTTCTAATATTACGTAAATGAAAGAAGGCAGTCCTAGAGGTCTGCTTTATGTGGGAGTTAAATGACAAATCCTGATCAAAGATAACTCCAAGATTCCTGACAGTGGTGCTAGAGGCCAAGTTAATGCCATCTAGAGTGACTATATCTTTAGACAATGAGTCTCTAAGGTTTTTGGGGCCAAGAACAAGAATTTCGGTTTTTTCTGAGTTTAACATCAGAAAATTGCAGGTCATCCAGGATTTTATGTCCTTAAGACATGTTTGTAATTTAGATAATTGATTAATTTCATTGGGTTTGATTGATAGATATAACTGCGTATCATCTGCATAACAGTGAAAGTTAATGGAGTGATTCCTAATAATGTTGCCTAAAGGGAGCATATATAAAGTAAATAGTATTGGTCCAAGTACAGAACCTTGTGGAACTCCATGACTAACTTTAGTATTTATGGAGGATTCATCGTTAACATGTACAAACTGAGAACGATCTGATAAGTATGACTTAAACCAGGTTAGGGCAGTTCCTTTAATGCCAATTTGATGCTCAAGTCTCTGTAAAAGAATATCATGGTCAATGGTGTCAAATGCAGCACTAAGATCTAATAATACAAGTACAGAGACAAGTCCATTGTCAGAAGCAATCAGAAGGTCATTATTAACTTTAACCAGAGCTGTCTCTGTGCTATGATGAACTCTAAATCCTGACTGAAAATCCTCAAATAAACTATTGTTATGTAGAAAGTCACACAACTCTTTGGCGACTACTTTCTCCAGAATCTTAGAGAGGAACGGGAGGTTAGAAATCGGTCTATAGTTGGCTAAAACCCCTGGGTCAAGAGTAGACTTTTTAAGAAGGGGTTTAATTACAGCTACTTTAAAGGACTGTGGTACATATCCTGATAATAAAGAAAGATTAATCATATCCAGTAAAGAAGTGCCAATTAAGGGAACAACTTCTTTAAGCAGCCTAGTTGGGATCGGGTCTAACAGACAGGTTGATGGCTTCGATGAAGAAATGATTGAAGTTAACTGATGAAGATCGATAGCAGAAAAACAGTCTAAATATACATCTAAGTTTACATTGACAGAAGTCCCTGAACTTGGAGAGCCACTGATAACTGTTGATGGCAGTTGGTGATTAATTTTTTCTCTAATAGTAATAATTTTATTATAGAAGAAGCTCATGAAGTCATTGCTACTTAAGTTTATGGGGATATGTGGCTCGATAGAGCTGTGACTCTCTGTCAGCCTGGCTACAGTGCTGAAGAGGAACCTAGGGTTGTTCTTATTTTCTTCTATTAGTGCTGAGTAATAGGCTCCTCTGGCATTACGGAGGGCCTTTCTATAAATCTTAAGATCATCTTGCCAATTTGAGCGATATTCTGATAATTTGGAAGAGCGCCATTTCCTTTCAGATTTCCTAGCTATTTGCTTTAACTGGCGGGTTTGGTGGTTATACCAAGGTGCTAGTCTCCTATGTTTTAATAATTTCCTTTTTATAGGAGCGATAGAGTCTAATGTTGATCGTAGTGAGCCTGTAGCACTATCGACAAGATTATCAATTTCAGAGGGACTAAAGTTGTTATAGGACTCTGTTAAATTCAGACATGGCATTGAATTAAACACTGAAGTAATCTCCTCCTTAAATTTAGCTACAGCACTGTCAGATAGACATCTGCTGTAGGAAGTTTTGCCTAATGGCTTATAATCTAATAGTATGAATTCAAAAGTTACTAAATAATGGTCAGATAGGAAAGGATTATGTGGGAAGACTATTAAATGTTCAATATCAATGCCATATGATAAAACAAGGTCAAGAGTGTGATTAAAACAATGAGTTGGTTTATTTACACTCTGACAGAAGCCAATTGAGTCTATTAATGATATAAATGCATTACTAAGGCTGTCATTTTCAACATCCACATGAATATTAAAATCACCTACAATAATTACTTTATCTGATTTAAGGACTAAACTTGATAAAAACTCTGAGAATTCAGATATAAAATCAGAGTACGGTCCAGGAGCACGGTACACTATAACAAATAGAACTGGCTGCAGTGTTTTCCAGTTTGGGTGAGAAAGACTAAGAACAAGGCTTTCAAATGAATTATAATTTAGTTTAGGTTTAGGGTCCATTAAAACGCTCGAATCATATATAGCTGCTACTCCACCTCCTCGGCCTGTGCCTCGAGGAATGTGAGTATTAATATGACTGGGGGGGGTGGATTCATTTAGGCTATTCATTTATGAATGAGTGCAGAAAGAGAGAGGAAGAGAGTAGCTCAGTGCGCCATGGGAAATCCCCCGATAGTCTAGGCCTATAGCAGCATAACTAAGGGATGGTTCAGGACTCACCTGATCCAGCCCTAACTATAAGCTTTATCAAAGAGGAATGTCTTAAGCCTACTCTTGAATGTGGAGAGGGTGTCTGCCTCCCGAACCACAACTGGAAGCTGGTTCCACAGGAGAGGAGCTTGGTAACTGAAGGCTCTGGCTCCTGTTCTACTTTTAGAGACTATAGGAACCACAAGTAGCCCAGCATTCAGAGAACGTAGTGTTCTAGTGGGGTAATAGGGTACTATGAGCTCTTTAAGATATGAAGGGGCCTGACCATGAAGAGCTTTATAGGTGAGGAGGAGGATTTTAAATTCAATTCTACATTTTATAGGGAGCCAATGCAGAGTAGCTAGTACAGGAGAGATGTGATCTCTTTTTCTAGTTCCTGTCAGTACTCGTGCTGCAGCGTTCTGAATTAATTGGAGCGTTTTAATGGACTTATTGGGGCAACCTGATAATAAAGAGTTGCAGTAATCCAGCCTTGAAGTAACAAATGCATGGATTAGTTTTTCTGCATCTGTGGATTTAGTGAATCCACTTGAGCTGCAGTCATCTAATAAGTATTCAGATATAAAATACTTTTGATTTATTAAACCTATAGTAAAAATAGACCAATTTAAATGAGTTTCAGAGTTTCCCCAAGGGTATTTTTCAGCAATGGGATGGGGAAGGCAGTGTACCGGTAGTGGAGTATTTTCAAAGTAGGATATTAGTACTTCATTAAAGGATCTGTTCCTTCCTCCAGCCACAGCCTAACTGCATCTGTGTGTTACCAGGCAAGCCTTCCCCTTTAAGAAGTCCACCTTTCTCTTGTGGGTATCCTGTGCTGTTTTGTTGTGGGAAGTAGGTCCCGGTGTGTGAGGTTGATGTTCAGTAACGTCAGGTTGCAGTATAATAGTAATGAGAGGTTGTGTGTTGTGTGTTGTGTTGTGTTTGCTGCCACAGTAAATATAATATAATAAAAGCTAGCTAACAGATAGGAAACAGCTTAAAGGCAATTGAAATAGTCTTAACTGGAGGCAAAATGTTTTGCAGCTGCTAAGCTGGAAACCGCACGCAATCAGATGATTGGTCACGTTTTTTTCTCTTATGCTTTTATCTGCAGATGAATAATGACTTGTAGATGCTTACTAGCTTTTCAAAGTTAAACACTGATGTTGTGTTATTGTGCTAGGCTAGTTTTACAACAGACACACTGTACAGAGTTTTCCATTTGTTTCTGCTTGAAATAATCCCAAACTTTGGACACTTTCTGTTCTTTTCTCTGCCCTGTCTGTTCTCCTCACTACTCGCTATTTTCTCTTTTTAAAGTGCTGCGACAGTAATCATCACTCATGCAAAACACAGTGCTTTAAGGCTGTATATAGTTCTATGGATTACTCGAGGGATTGTTTCAGCCTAAGAATCCACCTCAGAAATGTTGACTGTAGCAACTCTTGCTGGCACTAAGTTGATCTAAAATTAAAATAAAGAAGTTTGAGAGAGTAATGAGAGAACAAAGGAGCATAACTGGCCTTGGCAACTGGATTTTGGTTTTCATTTTAAAAAGCAAAAGGATGGAGCAAAACATAGATGAAATTGTGAAGCAGCCTTTTACTGCGAAGGCTAACGTCAGATTTCCAGTTTGTGAGGTACCTTATTATGTGCACAAAACTATGCCTGACAAGTTCTACATGTTGCAGTGTCTGTTCTCAGGAAGGGATATGGTAAAAGGTTAAGCTCAAATTCAAGTGAAGCTCCAACACAAGCTTTTACCAAAGTCCACTTTCCCCCCCTGTCTGTTCTTGTGGAGAAATACACACAGACACATAGCAAGGTAGATACCTTTAAAGTTCGGTCTTATCCTGGCATCATATCCAGATGTCCTCCCCATCAGTTTGTCCAGAAAATCGGAGGGAGACATTGGAACCTGCCGTGACCTCGCAGCATTGTCCGCCTCCTTGCACTGCCCCACGCTGTCACAGGAACAAAACAAAGATAACGCAAGTCATCATCAGTGACATTTTCACAGCAGGATGTGTATTTTGCAACTCTCCTTGTCAACTGATGTAAAGCACCATAGTGAGTCACATCATTGACTGGTTCTGACAGCTTCAATGTTTGCTGTTCCAAAAGCCTCGACAGATTCATAAACACCCTGTGGAGAAAACCTGCAAAACACAACTTAAATTTAAAATCTGTGACCAAGTAGTTCAACTTTGGTTAGTTCTGATACACAAAATCACTGTCTTCACAGTGCTGACCTCTGAGAGAATGAGGAAAGTAGTCCAAAATGAATCAGCTGTGGACCGACGTCCAATTTTATGTGAGTCTGATCTAGCGTAATAACACAGCTCCAAAAAAGAGGAATGGTGACACAGGAGGATGTGGTGTTGGCATTTAGATGTAAAGTTTTGTTTTCCATCGGCCATCAAAATCAAGCCCCGTAATTCAATTCAATTCAATTCAATTTTATTTTATTTGTATAACGCCAATTCATAACAGAAGTTATCTCAGGACACTTTTCAAATAGAGCAGGTCTAGACCGAACTCCTTAAAACATTATTTATAAGGGAGGGGAGAGAGAGAGAGAGAGAGAGAGAGAGAGAGAGAGAGAGAGAGAGAGAGAGAGAGAGAGACACACACAGACAGACAGACAGACAGAGGTGCACAGCAACAACAGTAGTAGTAGTACCTGTAATCAGGTCGGTAATCAGAAGAAACCTGGCCTAGGACAATACTAAACCCATATGAATCTCAATCGTTCATGATGAATCCACTGACTCAAATTCACCTGCGACTGAATCCTTATCTTTAAATCTACTGTAATATTTTAGCAGAATTTGGGTGGTGGCTGGTGCTAATTTCCCACCCTGATTGAAATAGCCATACCATATTAAATAATAACGCTGGGGAGCTCTACGATCGTCTATGGAGTGAGCCTTTTGGCGTTTGTTCTATTTCTTTCCACGAGCTGAGAGAGAATCTAACAATCTATTTTAAAAATGATAATTATAAATGATATATTAAATGATTTGATTCTGATAAATGATGAAATGTGCATCCTATGCTTAGCATCCCTGTTTAGTTTCAATCCCAACCCCCACAGTGAAATGTGAAAATCTGCCGAGCCACTATATTTATTAGAAACACTATGACTGCTGTTTGTGATTGTGTTTTTTGAATTACATACTTATTCCACATATTTGTCAGTCGTGTCTGAACAGAGCAGAAGACAACCAGACACACATACAGGTAGGAAGAGGAGAGAAGCCTTGGACGCAGATCATCGCAATTTGGTCCTTTTAACTTCATTCATTGTTGCAGAAAAAATGACACCCCGCTTAACCGGGATATTCATGAGGTAATTAAAAATATGTGTGATTAGAAAAGAACAGAGGAGCAGGTGAGGGGCCAGACTAAGAATGGTTCACACAGAAGACCCCATGAAAGAATGTAGAAGATGTAGAGAGACCCGCACCGGAGGAAGCCCAAGGTGTGAGGCGTTGGGCGGGTGTGGGGATACTCACAAGTCCCTGGTTGAGCGCCCGCTATGTTGGAGTTCACCCCGGTGGACATGAAATAATTAATGACTTTGGTGTGCTTTGCTGGTAAGCCAAAGCTTAGAATGTTACATCCAAGTGTGAACCTATTGTGACGTCACCCATTGGTCCGTTTGAAGCCTTGAGTTTGGCCTTATGGTCATCACCACAACGGTTTGTCGGAGCCATTGGAGGTGACGTACTGCAAGTTGATCTGCTCAATGGCACAATGTGGATCGCCTGGTCACACATGATCTTGTATTCCAGATAAACAGTACATTAAAATATCTGAAATGATTTCAGAAGAGAAACAGTCAACGCAACAGAATCTTGATTCATATTTGATCAGCACTGCCTAGTTTGACAGTTGATCTGAGTTTGGTGTGTTGAGCTGGACTCACTGAGAGTGACCTGTCAATCACAAGGTAGCCCCGCCCTAAAGTATACCCTGCTTTATGGTCTGTTTTACTCTGACTGGGACCATCATTTACTAAATGAACATCATGCTGTATGGAAGAAGACTGAAACTAGAGATTGAGATCATAAACTCATCAGGAAACTGTTTACTGAGCTCATAAATAAAGTGTGAAGTTGGCTCATCTCTCTTGAAGACTGCATGGTATCGGTCTTTTATTGCAGCCAATGGAGCTCCCCCTGCTGGCCTTTACATCCTTACATTTACATGCAGGTTTAAGACACAACTTCACAGACCCAGAAGCTCTGTCCATTATAGATACTGTCAATGGTTCCAACTGATAAACGTGTGAGTTGATGTTTGTGTCATTTTTAGGGTTAACGCTGTTTAGAATGGTAGTTTTACAGTAGCACAGCAAAAGTTGCCTGTGCATTCCTCTGGTAGTAGCTTCTAAATGCCAAGCTGAAGCCAGATGATCCTGAAACTACACTTTTGTACGTGTTTGTCAGTTGGGACAAGAAGGAACATTTCCAAAAATAACTCTGCTTACTGCCAGGGTCATACTGTGAAACACACGCGACACGGACACACACACTCTATTCAGCCCACGCAAGTGTAGTTTCAGGATCATCAACCTTTACTTTGGCATTTGAAAGCAGCGCCCGTTTACCCCAGCAGGAAGGAACCTTACACAATCCAGAAGAATGGTGTTTACCATGAGTCTGATTACTCATTTATCCTCCTCTGAACATGCACTCACACTAGGGGTGACAGTAAGAGACAAAGAAACCTGTACTCATTTATTTCCAAAAGCTCTGGGAGACGAAGAGGGACATAGAGCAGAGTGACAGCTGGAGGTGGGGTCTTAGCAACAATGGGACAGAAGGAGGTTGAACAGAGTTCAGCTAAAAGCAAAAGAGTGGACAGAGGTAGAGCTGACCAATAAAAAGGTTGATATGATTTATTCTCATTTTCTTTTGTCAATTTTCTGTAAATTCAGTTCAAATTTGCTTAATATTTAAATTGAAACCTGACTAATGTATATTGATAATAAATAAAATGCTAATTAGGTGTGTTTGCATGAGTTGTGCTGCTACCTGAGCACAAGGTTTCAATGTGAGGAAAAAAACATGGAAAAAAGAGCCCTATCTGCTACTGCAGGTTATTTTGTTTCTCATGTGACAACATATTTTTTTGCTTTCTGAAGATGACGAAAAGGTGCCAATAACAGGTCTCTTTGTTATCTATAGCGGAAAAGCGTTGCTCTGTGTTTTAGAACAAGCTACTGTATTTATGTGTATATACCTATACATTTATTTATATTCTATATATTGTGTTAGATATTGTAAGTATTATTTCTATTTCTTTAACGTTGTGTGAGTAGAACAACTCTAACAAACAAATTTCCCCCTGTGGATCAATAAAATATTTCTGATTCTGATTCTGATTAATTAAAACTCTTTTGCCAACAACACTGTTTTGATGAGCCTTCATTAAAATTAGGGGTAGGGGTAGTAGGGGTGCACCAGTGGCGTGCACAGGGAGGAGGCAGTCGCCCCCCCTCTTGGCCCAATTGTTGAAAAACGCGTGCTAAAGTGTCCTATTGGGAGGCAAAATACACTAAATTGCCCTCTTGGGTGGAAAAAACACTCAACTGCCCTCTTCTAAGTCCTATTATTAGGTAGATGCCTATTGCATGTTTAAGGAGCAGCTACCTCACCACGTCTTGTGGGAATAGCTTTTCAAAGCTAGCCAGTAAAGTTAAAAGTTGGGTTAGCATTGCATATCAGGGTTTCCGCCAGGTTTAAGTTGACTCCCCGCCGGGGTAAGCATCTGGGATCATTTTTATAAATGCTTTCTTGAAAATGCCTTTTAAACTTCAGCTTGCAAGTTAGGACAGAAAGTCTTGTTAGTAGGCTAATGCTATTGAGAAGGCTAGCGGCTAATGCTAGCAGCTAGTTGAGAGAGAGAGAGAGAGACCAGTGTGATGATCAGCTAAGTAGAACAGAGCTGGGTGAGCATTATAAACTGTGAATGTAGCTTTAGTGTATATTATGATACACTTTGCAATAAAAATAGATAATGCAGTCAAAGCAGATTCCCTGAATTTTGTGAAGGCTAGATACATTTAGGCTAGCTAATTTGAATGAGCCATGAATGAGCCGCAATTTATTCCACGGAGCAGTAAATGTGTCTCAGACCTTTTCAACAGCTATGGCTTAAGCTTTGATATTGTTTTATTTTAATTCCATTTCTTTTGTTGCTGTTGAAAACACAGCATTCAGGAATGAAAGAATGCACATTGTCTGATTCTCTATAAGACTCTTCTTGAATTGTTGATTCTTTAAAATGTGTGTTGAGTAAATAAAATTTATAACAATGCATTATGTGGCCATATTTTAAATTCTCCAGTCAGCTTTTGGAATTTTGCTTAATGTGTTTCTTTTGAGTTGTCAAATCATTAGTTTAATGTGTATTGTTCCCTGTGTGATTTTATCACAGAGCCCTCTTGGGTGAAGAAAATACATTAAACTCCAGAAGACTATTAGGACCAAGAAATACTATGACACATTACTGTTACAATGACTTTAATGTTGGGCCCTTTGTTGATCTATATTGAGCCAGAACTATATCTCACAGAAGCAGTTTGGATTATCTGGTGCTAATATGGTGTTAAAATGCACTAGAATACAGGAAATGGCATCTACTTAACTGAAAATGTTCTGGGGGAGACCCCCAGACCCCCTCGGGATTTATTTCCTTCATACATCCATGTCACTGTGTGTTCTTCACAGTCCAACGTTGAAATCCACACAGTTCTCGTGGATGCTGAGCCTAACAGCAAACTATCCTGAGTAGTCTGTCTAGCAAATTATTACGTCATTCCGATAAGTCCGATATCATGACGAATAGCCCCGATAGCATATATAATTTTGTCAGCATTATCAGAAAAACTCTTTCTGACTGGGAAAATTCAAGAATACCCCCTCATGTCGAAAAGAACTGGTTAACTCGGTCA